AGCTGGTAGAGTTAACATCATTCTAGTTTATTACAACTTGGGTTTTACATTCAGTTTTTGCATTGACATTCATGCATGCTGTGATGGTTTCCCATATGTCAATTGCATTATACATTGGGGCAGTCTGGTGAAATAAGACCTCTTAAGACCTTGCACAAACAAATTCTAAAAACGCCGGGAAAAAAGCCATCGTATTTCTATCAACGTAGGGTAGAGGAGAAGTAAAATTCACTGAGCTTTGAGAATTTTACATTATTTTCAAATTTGGGCCTGATTCTCAAGAACATCCTCTATACGAGCCTGTAACATACCATTTCGCCACACTGCATTTGGGCAATCAGCTTATCCTGTAAAAGCCACAAATCAGAACACCCTGTCTAACTATGTGTAGAGCTGCAGCTCTAACAGTACTTTCAAAACCAATTTACAAATATGTTAAACCATGCTCAGCTGTATGCTCACTGACCTTGAATTCTATCTTATGGTCTTCATGACTTTAATTTCACATGCATATATTTGTGGTGTGCTACTGTGTGTAGCTTTGTCTTGTGTTCTTTTGTGTATAACTTTGTATTATGTTAATGTGTTGTCTCTTTGTTTTGGTCTCCCAAAACAAAACTAGCCTAAAGCTATAATCTGGTACAGTGCATCAAATGGTGACATTTATGTCTTAAACTGTAGGTGGTCCCTTTTAAAATAAATAAATAACACAAATTCCTGAGAAAAGTATCCGGCTCTTTAGGTGCTAAATGCTAGTTGCCAATTTGTCTGTCAGCTTTTTGGTGCTGGACAATTAGTCCAAAGTGGGTTTAATAAAGCTTTTTAGCTGGAAACAAACAGAAAGGTTTGGGCTATTAAACCAAAACAATTAGCTAAAACACTCAGTGGATCTGAGAACTGCAGAGTTAGTGGTAATTTTCTGTGGGTTTCTGAGTACTTTCAAACCCTTCCAAATTACACATAGTCTGTTGTTAATGTAGAATATTGATTAGTGCAGCTTCAAGCTATGTTCAGGGTTATTTTCTTTAGGTTCTTTTTGATTCACATATATTGGTGAAACTGTGTTAAAGTAAAGGGTAGCCTATGTAGTGTAATCCATGCATTGACTTACTACTTCCCTGAGTAAAATGCCCAGTGAAGAACAGAGTTTAGACAGCCGAGACAGACACCAAACAGGCCAAAGTGAGTACAATTCCACCATCAAGTTTAGTCTTTATTTGTACATTAATGCAATTCAACAAGGCTTTGGAATACAGCACATAAAGAGATTTCACATAAATCATCTTTTTCCACTAAGAATTCCTCTCAGGTCTTAGATCTTAATCACCACTAAGCTTTAACAGTGATCAGCGTTTACATGAACAGCAAAGTATTACGCGTATGGCCTGATATTACTTGATTTTACAAAAGTCAGTGAAGGATGTTTAAAGTAATTTATCCTTAATATATCACAGTGAAACTAGATGTCTTGCCACACTTTACTGCGAGAGAAAATTAAAGATTATTTCATTGATAAAAAAGAGTATATACAACTATCAGGCTAATCCTCTCATTTGGTCCAATTTCTTTAGAGTTTAGATACTCAGACAAATATTCCTTCCAAAAGACATTTAAAGCAGCAGGGTTAGAAAATATGTCATTGTTCTAAAAGAAGCAGATTTTCTGTGCTACACCTCATAGTGCCAATTGTTTAATATTTTAAAGAAAACCCACACCGGTAAAATTTAATTTACAGTATCATGCCTTTTTAGAATGAGACCCCAGCTAGAACGTAAGGTTGGTGGGACGTAATAGGCAGTGTGAACAACCAGACAGTTCGTCCAGGTAGCTTCATAAATGCCATGGACCTGTCCCACTTCCACAACAATGAAAAGTCAGCTTCAAATAAACAGCACAGCTCTCCATACATGATCATGTCGAGATGCCAGTGCTGGCAGAGAATCACCAAGAAACTGCCTGGAGCCCAATGTGGAGCTGCAGGGGAAAACTGGCTCTGCTAAACTTGATCTACAGCCATGTTCCAATGCAAATTTCATATAGAATAAAAAAGAGGAGAAACGAGATTTCATTTGTAAAGATTATGGCTCTCATAACACATATACCCGCTCCATGACTTTATATTGCTCATTTGTAAAATGTGGGTGGAATGTGTCCAAACTGCATTGAATATCACAAAGTAAGCTAGGCCACGTCCATGTCAAGCTAATTCTGTCATGTTTCTAAAACATTCGCTCCCTGAATATAATATTGCACTCACAGTTCCCAAAATGTAAGGCTGGATTACTAACAAGCGAGCACATGACCCCGGGCCCCAGGAGTTCCAGGTCTATTATATGTCAAAGGTTTTTGGTAATTTAATTAAAGGTCCCATATTGAGCTTATTTTCAGGTTTAAACTGTTATTTTGGGTGTCTACTAGAAAACATGTACATGCTTTAATGTTGAAAAAACAAATTATTTTTCTCTTCCTGTCCATTGCTTCGGCACCTCTATTCACCCTCTGGCAGAACACTCTGTTTTAGCTCCTGTCTCTTTAAGGCCCCCTCCCTAAAAGCCCACTTTCTTGGCTTTGGCACAGCGCTGCAGAAACGATATGTCAAGATAGGGTTGGCTATGCGAAACTAGGCCCCACCGATTACTGTCCAGAAACACAAATTTATAACTTTATTCGCTGGTTTTGGTAAAACTGGATGATTGAATTGAGAAAATATTGTCTGGTTTTCCCTCTGATGTCCTCCGGCTGCTCTGCCTCAATCTTCATTGATTTACAGAGTTTGCTGATGGACAGATAGCTTTACTTGCTGTTAGTTACTTTAGTCGGGAACTACTGCTAATGGTACCAGTCAATAGCTAGTTAGCCATGCAGATAGTTGTCCGGTTATCTGACTCAGCTCGGATTGAAAACTTGCTGCTCCGGGGGGGGGTTTCGTGTTTAATAGTGCAGTAGCTTTGGACGGCTGGTTCGGGCAAGGCCAGCTACCGTTAGCAACAGCTAGCAGTTACTATAGTGTTGGCAACAAGTAAATCTATCTGTCTATCAGGAAACTTCAGAAATCACAGAACTGGGGCAGAGCAGCTGGAGGACATCAGAGGGAAATCCAGAAAATATTTATGTTTATTTTATAACTGTAAAAGCACTTTCTGCGAGACATACTGCATTTCCAGCTGGATATGCAGAATGTCTACTAGTCTAGTAGTGTATTCGGTATGTGTTCACAGAATGGGGGGGTTATACTAAACAAATCCCTCCATGACATCAAGAGGGGAGCCAAATCATTAGGTGAGGTTAATGACAACCTCACAATCGGTAGGGAGCCAAATTCAAACAGTTTTTTTGCACACACATTTACTGAAAGACTGAAGAGGAGAAAAGGAGAGAAGATGTTTTTTCCTCATAGTTTGTGGGTCTTTAGACACACACGGGAAACATACGTAGTCTGAAAAGACATGAAGAAGTGGATTTTGCATTATATGGTAAATTTCGGATTTGGTGGCACCTCTGAAGTAGAATATCAAATAAGGTAAATTCTGCCTATTAACTAATTATAACAAATTATTGCAAGGGACAATTCAGTAGTCGTTGGATATTGGTAGGGACATGTCCCATCCCAACTAAATTCACAAGTCACAACTTCTGCCCAGGGGGCCCCTAACAGGTTAATCCAGCCATGCCAGAATGTCCTTACACCTGACCCTTTGTAATTTAAACATTCATTAGTCATTAGTTCACCCTAGTTTTCCATGTTTTTATGTACAAGTGACTAATGGGGAAAACTATTTTTGAAATTGGTACTGAGCGAGAGTGCTATAGCCAGTAGCCACAAATCAGTCCTTTGGGGCAATAGCACACCGTCAATGTACATCCACTAAAAGTTTTTACCACTGACAGGCTCAGATCATTAGTGTCTGACAACTTTATGGAAAGGACAATAAAACTTTTTTCTTTACCTTCAATCTTTACAACAAAGGCATTCTACCTCTTTGGGCATTGGGTCACAGAACCCACAACTCTCTCTCTCTCTTCTTGTCCACTCTTCAATTTGTAGGAGCTCTCATCCGTATACTCTGGCTCAAATAAACACAAGTGGCCTCAAATTCATAGGCCTTATCCACATTGTCAAAATCAGCCAAATATTCAGCCATGACATGTAAAAACTAAGCTACGCTTTCTGTTCCTTAGTACAACAGCCTTCCCAGCACTCCTCACACCAACTCTCACGTTTCCACCATTGTGTTCTTGCAACAAGACACCTCTTGCGAGTGACTCTTGGTTAGACACAATAACAAACCAGCCAGATCAAACCAAAGGTAAAGAAACATTTTTTTATTTATCTATAGGGTCCTTTCTATGATGTTGTCAGCGTTAATCGGCATAGTGTAGTGGGTGTTTCTTTCTGCGCTCTTCTGTGTCTCTGCCTTGCATCTGCAGCGAGTGATGGTTGGCTGCTGTCCTCACCTAACCAGGACCTGGAGCTGAAAGGCATGGAGAAAGCTGCAAGAAATTGTCAGTGGATCATTCGGGAGTTTGGTCTGCGTTTGGGCAGTTATCTCTGCACGTTTGTCATAGACTGTATAAAACATGGATGAAGTCTCCGTGACGTCACCCATAGGTATCTGAGGCGCTGTCGTGAATTTCAGTGTGGGAGGGTCCGGCGGTCACCGTCTTACCAAAATGGACAAAGAGGTGGAGCTGAATAAAGCCTGGTAGCTGAACCACACTGGCCACCTGTGACAATTTTTACATATACTTCGGTTCGCTGCTTCCCTTTTCCCTGGAATTAATTTTATTGTTCCTCTCCTCATCCTGTGGACACTTTCGGGGAATGTAACAGTCAGACACTTAATCTGAGCCTGTCAGTAGCAAAAACAAGCACTTTTACATACATGGCTGATTATATTGCAGCCAGTATCGCTGCTGCAGCTCTTTCACTCAGTACTGAATCAATTTCAAAAATTGTTGTCCCCATTAGTCTCTTAGACACAAAGACATGAGAAATAGGGTCCATGTTGAAAAATACCATTTTCTTTAATGCATCTGTGGTTATGCTTGTAAATGTGTGCTCAAAAGCACCAGAAATAAATCCACCGCTGAACATGACAGGTGCATTAAGGCTCTCCCAAACCCTGTAGGTTTACACAGAGCATCATCATCAAGAATAAGGACTGGCAGAGCATTTTTAATGTTCACAATAGCAGTTGAAGCTGCACAAGGTAACAGTTTTCATTTTGCCTAAAAAAGAAAACAAACCTTACCCCATCCATCTCAATCAAAAAATATGGCTACAGCATCCCCACAATAGATTCACTAAATTCTAGTGCCATCACCTTCACTCTCAAGACTAAGTCACATTTAGTTGACTTGTAAGTTGTCAAAATTCAAACAGTTACCTCTGACTGCCCAATTTGAAATTCAAATGCAAATCATGCCATGACTTCCCACACAGTGTTTCATAACCACATATTGTAACAAGAATTATTATTGTGTAACTGATCGTTTGTTGACCTGCCACTTTACCTTTGTCACGTTTGTATTAGAATAACAAATCTGATCTATATATTTTAAAGGTGCTACATGTATCATTTTTAACATCAGTAAATTCTTACCACATTCATTTTGAGACATTAGTATAATTAATCAACAACAAGACCACTCCTGAGATGATTGGCAGCTCTACCACCCTCCTAACTGCATTTGACATTGTGTGCCACTGATTTGGATTTAGAGCGAAATCTTTTGGATTGCTTTACTTTCAGCGCAAACAGTGACAAATGGTGGAGAGTAGTGAGAGGCAAGTGGGAAAATATCATCTTCAACGTGTTTATCCACTTCAGTAAAGCCAAAGATGCCTCGCCGGAAGGGAGAGACAGAGGGGGGATTATGGGAAATGAAGTCTCATGACTAGCACTAAAAATACCACTGGTGTGGGACAAAGGCTAACAATCATCTCAACCATGGTCTTAATGTTTAAGTCAATTATACCAAGCTACCTGATAAATTAGTGTTTAGAAATGTTACAAATAGAACCTCTAAATTAGTGTAAGACTGCATTTACAATTAGTATTTGGCTGTATAAATAAAATTAAACTCAGCCATTATTATACACATCACTCAGGCAACACTTTTCCACATATGTAACATAGAATATAGTATGAATCTGTAAGCATATTGCTCAATTACATTCACAATTTGAAATCTAATTGATAAATAAAACATTTAAATTAAATTTTATTACTAATCCCTTCCATTATTTGTTCATTTCTTCACATTCATCACATATACAGTATATATATTTCACTCTGTAATAATCTCAATGTTCAAAATATATTATTGACACACTGTTAAATACACTGTAAAGTTGGATGTGATTATAAAATACATTGTTCACTAAAGTTCAGATATGAAGTAGTAAGCAGGTGTTTAAGTGAGGCATTAAATGGGGAAGGAAATGTAATAAGGCCTGAGACACATTAACATCATTAGATATTTATAAACCAATAAAACAATGTTCCACACAAATATTTTTCTTCAACTGTAATCATTTTTATGTGTCACTGTAGCTGATTTCCAACACTGGAATAATAATGTTTAAATACAGGTGACCAAGCCAAATGACTGAAAATGCCTGATATGTGATTTCTGTTCTGGTTTATTTTCCTTAGCTGTGTATTACCTGTACAGTAAATAAATAAAAAACCCACGGAACTATTAAAATGTATTATTTAGATAGAGACTAATATGACTGTGTAACTATTAAATCAACCCTGTGTTTAAAAATTTGACTGTTTATAATATCCATTTGGCGTGACACTGTGCATATCTTTCTATCAGCGGCCACATTTCCATTAAATCTCAACCTGAAGGTTTCTGTTTAGCCTGAGTCTCACAATGTCTCAAACTTAAATTGATTATATACAATATTGTGTAGGCTAATCTCTGAAAATGCAACAATTAACAGGTTTTTTTGGCAGCCTTTACTGTATAAGGTCATAAGAAGGCAATGGCAGCAGCTGATGCAAAAGTCAGAATTTACAGGCAAAAAAGCTATAGCCATCAGTTTATAAGTTATACATGTTTTCTACCATTTTGCAACCAATTCATTTTCAAGCAATGAAAGCTCCTTCTAAATGGTCAAACAAAAATTATTTCCTTCACAAATCAACCAGAAGAGGAAGATGACGGTGACGATGATGAAGATGATGAAGATGAAGGGGAGGGTCTATGGTTCTCGCCTCCTCCCAGTTCGGTGAACCTTACCAAAGACGATGATGTTGCTTCTTTTTCTTTCTCCTTTCTGCTTCCTGTGCAGACTGACCTCTGGGCAGGTTTAAACTGCCATGTCACCTTCTTTGTTGTTGACGACTGCTCTACTGGTGCCGCTGCCTTCATTGGCGTAGTGACAGGCTGAGTTGATGTGGGAATGGCTTGTGTCCCTGCCATGCTGGTGGAAACCCCGGTCACCTTCCTTGCTTTGCCATTGATGTTTCTGTCCTGTTCTGTGAAGAGCTCACTCAGCACTTCAGGTTCAGTGGTTTCTCCGAACAAGTCCCAGCCTGGTTCAGCAGGCAGCCGCTTGGGCCGTGCAGATTTGTTACCAGCAGCTGAGATTCTGGAGGAGCGACTGGGATCGGAATCGGACAGGTCTGAGTCCCAGTCACTGTCCCCTGCCACTGAGCCACAACCCAGTACTGATAGATCAACAGGGCCAGATCCTGAACTCTCCGAGTCTGACTCCCTGGAAAAACACAACAGAAAGAATATTGTACTACAGTAATACTTAATTGCAGTGGCCAAAGTAATCACTGGCATCTGCTGCCTGTCACCAATCTCATTCTTATATGTATTTGTCAGGTGCAATGCACTGCTTTTAAAAAGCAGAAATCTGAACACTCATACAAGCTATTTGTATATTATTGAATGACAAGGACTCCTTCTTCTTCTAAGCTAGTGTTCACCATTAGGTCCGCTGGTTGCAACCACGTAAAGGACTAATAACTCTGAGCAGCTGCCTCTGCAATGGAGGCTCTGAACATGAGCCACTTGGATTCTGTTTGCCTAACCATCTCTGGGATGCGAGAAAAAGTCCACCAGAGATAGGGTAGGGTAGAGAGTTGTAATCCTTGCAGAGCCTCAACCAGGCATTCCCAAGATGTAAAACGGAATGTGGGATCGACAAATGTGTTGCATCCGCAGTAATATGGATGCTGTACTGGACTGTAATGATTAAGAGGAAGCTGAGCCTGAAGGAAACACTCAATTTACTGGTCGATCAACATTCCAAACCCACCTTTGGTCGTGAGCTTTGAGTAATGACCAAACAAAGCAAATGTCCAGATTGTCAAAGGGTGGCAAGGGGTCACCCTTAAAGAAATGGGTGGGGCTGGAAGGAGCTGGGCTGCTCCATTGATAGGAGACAGCTGATGCAGTTTTGGTATCTGATTGGGATGCCTCATAGAGGTCTCTCTGTGAAGGTATTCCAGGCACACCGTATGGATGACTAAGAACACACATCTGGGCTGGAACCTTTCGATATTCCCTCAGAGAGAAATGGAAGACAATGCCAGGGAGAAAGACTGGGATACCTTACTTAGCTGTCTGCCTCTGCGCCCCAAACCAAGAAAAGTGGAGCAGAAAATGGATGGATGGATGGATGGATCTATGGGTTCATTAACTAAATTGCTTTACCGTTATTTGTCTGACCGCACACTGAATTACAAACAATGAAATTCACTACAGCTACAGTGAACACACCAAGATGCACATACCTGCCGCTGTAGGGTGTGGTTCCTGCGGGGCCCAGTAGGAGGCAGGCTGGAGCAGCCAGATAGACAAAGCTGTCAGTGCACAGAAAGTCTCCTTCCTCTAGTTTTTGTGGGACAAGGTGAGTCAGCTTGGCATCCCGTTCTGTATTCGACTGGTCCAAGTGTGTTTTCATGCTGTCTGAATGTTGCCGTACACTGTCTTGTTTAGTATCATGGGTGGGAACTTCTGTCAATGTGGCGACTTCACCCCTGGAGGCAGGTCTTGCAGACACAGCAAGGTAAACAAAGCTGTCCGATTGGACAAAGGGATCTAAGTCACCACAGTCCAGTCCTGAGCTTCTGATTGGCTTCTGATTAGGATCTAGAAGGTGTTTGATCTGTTGTTTTGAGGGAGACAGAGGAAGGGGAGGACTTCCCATGAGGGTCACTTTTTTCCTGTGTGGTATTTCTTCACTTTGTGGGGCATTTATAGTTGTGGATCCCTCATCTGTATGGTGAAGTGAGGTCTCAATAACTGAAACCGTTCCTATCTTATCAGCTCTTCTTCCATTCTCATCTATTCCTCTCTCTTCGTCTCCCCCCATCTTTCCATGCCATGCTTCCTCTCTTTCACCATCTCCTTCTATGTCTTCATGCAAGGAAGTGTTGAGGAGTGATGGGTAGCACCACTGAAGCTCTGTACTCTCTTCCCTCCCCCATTCCTTTAACCCTGCATCATCCCCGTCTTTCTCCAGTGATGTGCTGCTGCTGCCTAGGTCGGAGCCACTGATTGGCTGGTCGCTGTCAGAGCCAGCCTCCTCCTGGCTCTGATTGGATAAGGAGAGGAAGACGCCACTGGAGTCGGACTCCAGTGTAACGTTGGAGTCTGGAGAGCTGTCCTCCTTAGTGGAGCTAGAAAAAGGACAAGGCAGTCAAATGACTGCTACATCCCCATGTGTCTGCAAAGATCCTGTGACTTGTGTTTTTTTTGCCACTGGTAACCACAGATGCCATCAAATTTATCGTAACCTACTTTTTCGGATCAAGGCTACTGATTTGTTTTTGTCTCTAAGCCCCACAGAGCATATTTGTATGGCTCTGATTTGAATGCTTGCACAGATGTCTTGGGTGATGGACACATCATTATGAATACATTTGCTATATATGTTGTTGTTGTTATATGATGATATATGATTGTTATCATGATCTGCGGAAGATTCAGGAAAAAGTGCTCCTGACACCTATATGAATAGTTTTTATAATGGTCCAGAGTTTTATGATGGTCCAGACCACAAATGTTAACCAGAACAATTACAACAACTGTTGGGTTTCAAATAGTGTAAAAAGAAGGAAAACATACAAAGTTTAAAAGTAAAAATATATATCACATATTAAAGCCATACAGTATATACTGCATTGCATGTCATGCCAGTGAAAGCCCCCAAATCAGAAATGTTGTACAGCACCATGTAAATGTGCAGTCAAATCTTCTGCCAAATCACCCACATGTACACAAAAATCACTTAATAAACAAATGGCTGTGTTTTGTTGCAATAGGAAGTCAGCTGGACTAAACTTAAAAGGAGATGGGAGCAAATGAACAAAGTGTGAAAACGACTTTAGGAACTTCAGCACTAATATGTTGCTTTATTTTCGAGATTTAGGAATCTGTCTTAAACTCTTTGTCTGACCAAGATTGTAGTTCGTTTAGCATCTTTCTTGTTTATTTTATTCACTGTTACTGTTCTGATTAATTGATTACATGTGGTGTGCCTCAAGGCTCAAGTGTTGGGCCACAACCATTTTGTTTATTTCTATCACTCATGGCTCAGCCTCAAGACGTTTTGTGCATTTACATACATGTAGAATCCAAACACAATCATTTTTAAAAGCAAAATTCTTGACACCACACTGCAAAGTACATAGCAGTGTCAAAACCAGATGGTGATATATTTCATTGATCTGTAAGTAAATATAAAAAGAGAAGAAAATGAGAAATGAAAAGAAAAAACCCAAAATCCAAAAATGATATTTTGTTGCTTAAATCAGCTTTGAAATTCTCAGAAACTTAAAGTTTTTTAATCTGCCATGATCCATGTTAATGTGGTGACTGGCACCCACAGAATTTGTTAAAATTATCGAGATATCCTAGTCAAAGTCACATATTCACTAAACTGGCCCAAAAAGCCAGTAAATATCAATGTACAGTACAAAGGCATGGCTTTAAATTGAACTTGCGTTCCAATGGCATAGTGGACCAGTGGATTTTTAACCCTGTCTAAACATAATCTTGGTCAGAGCTTCAGTATATCTTGGCTGAATTGTAACCTGGATTTTGTTTTTGCCCCATGCGATTAACTTCCAGTCACCCAGGATGTATGTCAACATCTGGCAGAGAACTGTTCAGACTCACTGCTGACAACAACCGTTTTCAAGGAATTACCTTGTGCCAACAGTGGAAGTCCCAGCAGATTTGGTTGACCAGTCAACAGACTGTCTGTCTGTGTCCATAGCTGGTGAGGCCAGAGCACTGAGCTCCAAACTGACCTGGGATCTGCTTCCCACACCTGAAAATAGAGCACAGATTTAACTATTAACAAGACAATTATATATACAATTAAACAAGAGATACAAGGTGTATAATCAATACATTATGCAATTCATTCCCCTCCTAGTCAAGCCATTGGATATTTGATCACAATCAGTGGATCAATGTCGATGTTTGAGTCGATGGTTTGCATTTATCTAGCTTAGCCCTTCCTGCAGGATTAGAAAAGTGACACACACACACATAGGTGTCTGAGAAGATAATTACAGTACCAGAGCCAACAAATCCTAATCTAGGTAACATGGTGCAGAATGGGTAGACGTGAGGTATGTTGGGACTGCACACATAAAACAAAGACTAGGGCTACTTCAAAACTCAAGCCTTATCAAAGAAACAGCACCAAAATCCATCTGGTCTGTTAAATTGCACCTGAGTGTGAGATTTAAGTTTGAATGGAAATCCTGGATGCCTACTGGATGAGGAGCAGGAGTCTCCTGTAGTGCAGCCATGACATCACTAAACCTTGCATTCGGTTCTGCCTTTGCCTTTCCACTGCGACTCTGGTTGCAACACAGTCGTAGTCTTAGGCACTGAAAGAAAATTTTTGACCGAAGTATTGATTCGAACAAAATTTCATGGCAACGGCATAGTGGTTTACAACCAACACGACTCTTCTGCAAACAAGCTATAAGACGCAAAAGTATATAATGCATGTACGTTCATAGTGAAAAGCTAGCTCTCTCAGTATGGATATAATGGCAGAGGCTGTAAAGAGACCAAAGAAGGTGTTTTTGGAGGAAGCGATGAAGAGAAAAAGAGAGACCGACTGAGCAAGAGACTGGACAAGAGTAAATATCTGACTGGCTTGCACTCATTGGCCTGAGCTAAAACAGCTGAAAGGATGGAAAACAGATGCCGAGCTGGCCTTCTAGCTGTTGGACTGGTCAGTAAAAACTTGATTAGCTGGCTTGCTGTGTCTTGTGTTGTTGCATTTGCTTGATGTTTGGCTGTGTTAGCAAAGTTGTCGACTCGAGCAAAATCAGCCAGAGGTTTCACAGACAGAGGTTTAGCTGCTAGCTACAAATCTGTCAGCAGACTTACTAGATAACACACTCGGACATTACTGTAAATGCTCTTTCGTCGAGTGCTGTCTAGCTTTGTTGCTGCAGTACTTAGGATCTTACGTGCCATACTTTTTAAATAGTAAACTAGTGCAAATAGCTAACGAGAGAGCTATTTCATTTCCTTCTCACCGAGAGTTTCACATGCGCTGTACTGATAACCGCCAATCCAGGGCTAAAAAAAAAGGACTGTCCGACCTGCAGCCTTTCCCCTCCTCTGTGTCTCTGCAGAGCGCCTCCACACACACACACACACGGAGCGAAGTCGGCCAGCAGATCAGCTGACATTACGGAAGTTGATTTGTTCAGTAACACGACATTTTAATCTGCTCAGTCTCTCATCCACCGTAGCTGTGTTTTGGTTTTACACAAACACTAGTTCGGTTAAAGCTAATTATTACAGACTAGCTGAAGTTAAGACTGTCTGTCCTGTAAATGCTCCATATTTGTATAGCGCCTTTCTAGTCTTTTCACCACTCAAAGCGCTTTTACACTACATCTGCATTCATACACATTCATACACTGAGCCTCAGTGCTCAAACATTGGGGTTCAGTATCTTGCCCAAGGGGGCAAGCAATACTCATACTCCCCATGCAACCAGGGAGCCAGGGATTGAACCGCCGACCTTCCGATTAACAGCCAACCCGCTCTACCTGGCCACAGCCGCCCTTGTGATCTAGTGTGACGAGATTTTCGTCAGGTAAAAAGCTGTCTCGCAAGACTCTTGCAAATGACATTTTTCACACGCTGTCAAGCCACACATTAATTTTCTCACGCAGTGAAAAACAAATGTATAGCTGATAAGATTAAACTCAGAGAGCGAATCAACTCCTGCCAGCTGATTGACACCAGCATAGGCTGTGATAGTAAACAGCTGAACACGCTCGCGCTGTGAGTCCAGACCTTTTTATATGACGAGTGGTAACTTAGGTGGAAGAGTTTTGCAACATAAACATCTAAAAACTGAAGCACAGCCCGCTCTGTTTGGGACTGCGAGCTGCACTGGAAGTTAATGTGGATCTGTGATGAGATTTGGGCCTGATCACAAGTTTTTCATTTAGCCTACTTTTGGTTTCACATGCAGCATGCAGTCCCAAACTGCGTCAGTCAAACGCTCTGAAGGGGATAACGTTACTACCAACGGATCAAAAACATAATGCACAGCAGAGTGAAGGCCAGGTAGACTTCCCATGAAATGATGACTTTAGTCTGGTAGTATTTTGCCTTTTTCTCTGGACATGTCAGTGAACACAGAGACCATGAGCAGAAAATCTGCTGAAACACAGGAACTATTAAAGTCCAGAAGTTTATAACTAAATTAAATATAATAATTACTCATTATGGTGAAAAGGTGCCACAGTCACATTTAAAGAGGTTACTTCCCCAAACAAAGACACAAAAGACTAAATCATGACTCAGCAGAGAGGATACTACAGGAGAAAAGTTGATCTACAGGAGAAACAGATCTGAAAGCGGCACAGAATGAATGAGAGCTACACTGGCTTATAATCTGTTATAGTTAGGTTATATATTTTGAATTGTCACCTGCCCCCAGAATTTTGTGTTTCTCTTATGTAAATAAATAAAAAATGTGTTTGAAAAAAGTGTTTGATGCTCAGAATATTTATTTAATTCAGCTTTAAAGATTTCTTAAATATAGTGTTAAAATCTTGTCTTGTCTTGATCTTGTGAACCCAATCTCGAATCTCGAATCTCGTCTCGTGGGTTAAGTGTCTCGTCACACCCCTACTGTCTTTAGTAACTGTTTAGCTCAGTTTTCCATTTACATAAAAATATGGCACATGTAGGGCCTAAACTCAGATGCTTGCTGAGACAAACCAGCTCCTGTCTACCAGCAGCAGGAGGAGGGAAGACTGATAGGGACTGAGTTCATCATTCTTTTCTTAACTTCACTTAGTATTTAATAATACTAGTAATAATAATATCAGGAATTTGATTTATTTTTCTGGCATTTTAGATTTGTTTCCAGTAAGATATTTTTTTTTTAACAAGCCAATTTTTTATTAAGGAAAAAGAACTGATGAGAGTAATATAAAGAACTGAACCAATAAGGTGTACTAATAAGAATGTATCAATAAAATTCTAATGATAACGTTACCCATCCCAACTCGTGAGAAAATGTCTGGCACAATTGAATTTGTAGTTTAATAGCCCTGCCTTACACGCATCCTCATACATACACATCTGGAACCCACAGATGGCATGGTAGCCTACTCAGCTGCGCTCCATGCCTTCTTGGTGAGGCCAGGTGGAGTGTGTCCTCCATTGTGGTTCCTATCCTTTTGTTTAAGCTTCAAGGGCCTGCCACCATTTAGGATCATCGCGTGACGAGCCACCCACATGCTCAAGTCCACCATTTTCCTTCTTCCCCCTCTACTGTGCCACACACACACTCATATGAACACCCACACATGCACACACCTGCTTTCTGATTATTATATGATTGTGCTTTGAGTAGATAATATGGTTTATCTGCTGGAGTTATTGCTCATTGATCGGTGCTGAAGAAAATAAACTCTGTTTTACCTTTTAAAGAAAACTTGCAGTCAGTACTCGGATTTACGGTAATAAATAGTATTTAAATACTGACAAGTGGACAAATCCCCTTTCACATTTTGGTTATAGGTCCCTGATCTCAGCCTGGTGCCCCGTAGTTCTTAACGTTTATTAATAATTTTGGTAATTGTAATAACTTTATTAAAATGTTTAAATATCTTTGATATTTGCCAATAACCAAATCTGCACTACCAGATCCCAACAGACAAGCAAACAAGCCCCAGTCCAAACCTCTCTGTAAGCCTAAACCCCCACCCCTAAATGGAACAATCCAGACCTTAACCCCCCCCCCAACATCCACCTCAATATGTTGTCCCCTTAGGGAGCAAGTTATTGTCAAAGCCTAGATGCCAAACAGATCTCAGTTGAGTATTTGAGCCAGAAGTGTGTGAACTATTTATTACCTATTTATGCCAAACTGGTATCACTGTTTTCTTGGGCATTATTACTGGAAAGTATCTTAAGGCTGAAATGATCTATGAACTATCTAAGAAAGCCAGTGTGTAATTCAAAAGTATTTTAATATACCAAATTAATATTATATAATTTATAAATCATATGTGTTGTGTCTTTATTAGACTTATTTTTTCCCTTCATGATCACTGTAAAAAATGAGCTGCATAGTGAGATGAGCTCTGCTTCCAGGGAGATGGAACATTGATATCTAAAATTATAGGTCTTGGATTCTGAGAGAACCGGGAACGGCAAGAAACAACACAAACTGGATTGCATTGATGTGAAACAATGCACTGAGGATTGTGATGCTCTAAAGTCAAGCTAACTAAAACATTACAACATCTCATTATTCCTTTCTAAAGTCATATTACAGCACTGTCCTGATATTAATGAGGAGAAAATACTGGAAAACAATGTCTATGCCTGGCAGTGGATTACTACATCAGTTCAGAACAATGGACAGTTCCACTCTGCTGGCACAAATTCACCACCTGTTATTTTGGTACATGTATAAATGAAACAATTCAAAGCCAATATCCCAGCCAAACTCTCCACTCTCAGTTACAAACAATACAGTGCAACTGCTGACATCAGGAAAGTGCTCAGTGTATACAGTACAATACTACTGCTGTTTTGACTGCTCACATAGTAAACAATAAACCATGAACATAAAAATGTGAATTAATGGGTTTCACTGCAACATGGTAGATCTCCCTGATGAAGGCAGGAATCTGTGTGTGAGCTTGTGTGTGTGTGTGTGTGTGTGTGTGTGTGTGTGTGTGTGTGTGTGTGTGTGTGTGTATCTGTTCGTATTTCGATTATGTTATTAAATATTTGATTTACAAAATATGGTTGTTGATAAGGAGTTAAGTAAGACTTTTATTAAGTTATAACTTTGTACGAAAGAGAAAGCGCATTACACAGTGGGCTAGTGCAAATAGCATTTGAAGTTAATGCTGCAGGTGATATAATAAGGTATACATGATATATATATTACTATATCTCATTTCTCTCTGTTGCAGATTAAAAATGGAACCTCATGATATGCTAACTGGAAATTTTCCAGTAGCTTGCTCTACCGCCTTTTTGCAAGAGGTCAGGGAATTTATTTTTTCCCAAATTGGCTCAAACTGTATAACTTGAAGGTGCTCAAGACAGGTGTCATTCATTAACTAATTAATTGCATTTATCTTGTGTTTTAAGCTAATAGTTTCATTTAATCTATGTGAAGTATTTATTGTACATTAAAGTATTTATATACCTCATTTCATTTGCAATACTTGTAAATCAGTGTTTAGCCAAAAATAAATGGCACTGGTAGTGGTACTTTCACATTGTTAGAATGGGGCTCAACTCCCTGCAGTGTCCTTGCTCAGCTGCCTACACAGTATTAAAAGGCTACTATTTCAAGTTAACCAATACTTCACATTTAAGACCTACTTCTTGCTTGATGACGCATAAGGCAGGAGACAGATTTTGAACAAGCACTGCACTGCTAAAAGGCTCAGGGAGGTGTCCCATCAACCCCTGTGAACAGGCCCTGCACTAGTCATTTATGAAAAGGCAAGCTTTCTGTTATAAATTTGAGGTCTCCAAGCCTAAGCCAAGATAACCCTGATAACATCACTGTGACATAATCAGGATATTTTATTTTTAATTAAGTGATCATAAAACATTTTGCCTTATATGAAACATAATAAGTGACATGAATGAAAAAATATGGTAGGAATGAAAACAAACACAGAAAATCCAGCTAATACCTACCAGTCAAGAGGGCAGCTTTCTCTCTCTGCGGCCCAGGGTGTGTTTGGTACATGTCAGCTCGTTCCCTCTGTGACTCCAGCAGTGTTTGGTACAAATCCTGGGTGTCCCTATGGGGCTGAGACAGGTCTAGGTGCTCTAGGTCAGAGTCCAGCTCCCTGGCTCTCCTTTCTAACTCTGTTAGGCTGAGCTCTGAAGCTGCTGAGGAGGGGGGGTGGGAGCCCCCAAAGCCAATCGGGGGGCGAAGAAGAGGCCAACGTTGCAGGGAGCCCGAGAAAGAATCTGTATCACCTCCTCCTTCTGTTCCCCCTTTCTCCCAGCCATCATCCCACAATGTGGTGACCATCTCAAGGACAGCATCCCAACTCTCCACCCTCCCTTCCTCTCCAAGGGTTCCTCCCTCTCCTCCTTCCACCTCACCTTCTTCTTTCTTTAATTTAGCCACCACCTCCTCCAATTCTTGTCCATGCCACTCTTGTATTCCATCCTTAATCTTTATCCCTCTATCCTCCACCTTTTCACACATAATTTCTACGTCCTTTTCCTTTTCCACAAGTTCCTTTTTGTTTCCATCCTTTTGCACTTTCCTTTCAATCCTTCTCTCAGACTTTTCTCGTTTGGTTTCCTCCACCAGTCCCTCACTGACAGTAACCCTTTCTTTCTCCTTACCCACTTTCTCCTCAATTTTGTCTTTCTCTTTTCTCCTCTCCTTGTCTCTCTTCTCTTCTTTCCCCCTCCTCTCCTCCCTCTCAGTCTTCTCTTTACTCTCTTCTCCTTGTTTCTCCTTGCTCCTGGATGTCCTGGGTTCTTCCTGCTCTCTGCAGACCCTCCAGTGCTCCAAATTCTGCTCCTTCAGGGAAGCCCTACCCACCAAACTCACCCCCTGTCCAGGTTCTGGATGAGAGGGCTCTTTAAGTGAGCATCGTCCCACAATACTTGTAATGTTCATTGAGTTTGTTAACGGGTTTTCTGACAAGTGGCCTGGACGAGGGTGGAGTTGGGAATGCGGGCGCCTCTTCTCCAATGCTGAGAGCACAGAGGGGAGTGGGGGGAGAATAGGAAGGTTGTGGAGTGCTCCACCCTGCCGTACAGTCCTCTTTCTGACAATGATTCGGCGAGGCCAAGTGGACTCGATGCCCTCAGTGGGCCCCGTTGACTCAAGGTCTCCAAGCCCTCTGCTTAGTCGTGGGCTGACCACACCCGGTCGGAGCCCTGTGGCCGTGCCAGGTCGAGTCCTGGAGCTGGACTTAGATGATTTGGACTTCTGGGATCGGGAACCTTTCGCTACATGGCTAGATTTAATTTTATCTATATCCAGAGGCTTTGTCTCAGCCTGATCTGCAGTGACAGTATCAGCTTTATCCTCAGCCCCAACACTTATCGGAGCTTTATCTGTAATATTGTTGACATTCTGGGTTTCACTGACAACCTCAGTCTTGGAGTTACTTTTAGTCCCTGTCTCATTACTAACCCCAGCTTCTAGTACTGCCTCAGGCTCAGATATAGGAGCAATCTTAACATTTGACTCAACTTTAGCTCCTACTCTGGACTCTGCTGCTGAACCAACTTCATTATTAACTTTAGCTACACCTCCATCTTCTATTCCAGTCCTATTATCCACCTGCCTTGAACTAGCCTCTGCCTCAGTCTCTGGATTTGTCCCCGGACCAGATCTAGCTCCAATCTCAACTGTATCTCCAGGCCCAACCCTGTTCTCAGTGTCAGTCACAGTTGAAGGTATAAACTCAGCAATAGGTTCTGGTTTTGCCACACCCCTTCCAGTTTTTTCCCCACTCCTTGTACCTCCCTTGCGTCCCTCCTTGTGTCCCTCCTTGTGTCCCTCCTTGTGTCCCTCCTTGTTTACAGCTGGAACCATATTTTCTATTTCCACCCCAGATTGCACTTTTCCTTCCAAATCCCACCCCCCTGGTCTTGTTTTCACCTGAGAGCCCATTCTTTTTTCAGACCCATTTTTAATGCTAGCCCTGGATCCATTGTCATATTTGTTCCAACTTTCAGCTGTATGGTGTTCTTGTATTCCAGACCTGATTTCAACCTGTGACATGTTTTCAGTTCCATCTTGACTTATTAACCTTGGCCCACACCCAGATTTGCTTTCAACTAACACCAAACCCACACTCCCATTGTCAAACTTGGAAACCATACCCCCACCTACATTTTCAGTGCCAACTTTTGACCCAGCTCTATTCCTACCCACAGCACCGGTGCCCATTCTGGGGGCAACACTGGGGGAGGGTGAAGGTGAGGGCTGTGGGAGCAACAGGGGTGTTGTGTCTAGGACCTGTTCGGGCTCTAAAAACACAGAGTCTCTGTCTGAACGCAGAGGTACTGGTCGACCATAGCCAAAGGTCCCAAAAGTTGATGTTTCCCTCCTCTCCCTCTCCCTCGCTCTCTCCCTCTCCAGCCTCCCCCTCTCCCTCTCTCTTTCCCACTCTCGCTGGGCCCACCCTCTCTCCATCTCCCTTTCTCTCTCCCTCTCCCACTCTCTTTCTCGTTCATTCCGGCCCCATCCTCCTCCTCGGTCTCTTAGGTCCTGCTCGAGGTCGTGAGCAGACAGTTGGACTAGTGGGGCACGGTAAGGGGATCGTCGAAGCTCATGGGGTGGTGACAGCCTGAGGCTCTGGCTTTGGGAGTAATGCCTTGGCTGGTGGACCTGGGGAGGGGAACAGCGCAAACTCTGAGTCTGACTTGGTCGAGGTTTGGCAGGGGAGAAAAAGACCGGAGTATGGTAACCTGAAGAGAGAGGTGAACCGGAAAAGGGGGAAATGAGGGGGGAGGTAAGAGAGGAAGACTGGCCCCCAGGGGGGGGATAGTGCCCTGGGTTCAGATATCCCCCTCCTCTGTCCATCATTTCAGTTGTAGTAAGCTCCAGACACTCCAGGTGTTTTGGAGGTGTCAAGACCTTCCAGGAATGTCGGCCATCTCTGCTCTTTGTGCTGTCTCCATGGTGATAGTGGTGGTGATGGTGGTGCTTCTTGGATGACGAGGAAGACACTCCCGGTGCTGAGAACGAGGACACAGAGGGAGAAACTGATCGGGTGAAACGTCCTGGCGAATGGCAGCCACTGCCATCAGCATCCTGACCCCCAAGCTTCAATGAATCATAGATGGCTCTTTCGTCCAGACGCCGCACAAACGAGGGGTTGGGAGTTAAAGAGCGTGGCTGCGGATCAAACATGTCAGCTGGAGACCTGCTAACCCTCAGGGAGCCACTTGCTGAGTAGCTAAAACTCCCCTCACCTCCACAGTCTCGCCTTATGGACCCTCCAGGGTGATGGTGATGGCTGTCAATTTGTTGATTGATACACATGGTATCGTAGATGGACCGCTGGGGTACGTAGCCGTCTCCGTATCCCCCTTCCACAGCCCTAGCTCGCCCTCCCACTCCCCCATCCCCAGCTCCATGTTTCTCCAGGCAGCAGGAGCTCTTCCTGAAACACCCAGGACGGCTAAGAGGCTTGCCCATGGTTGGTTGGATGGCTGATGGTGGGAGGGGTTGGTGGGAGGCACGTCTGAAGCTTGAAGAGTGAATTGTGAATTTGTTAATTTAACTAATTTTGAAATTGTTTGCTTGCAATATAAATTTCAGAATGTGCAATAGGCATGGAAGCCAGCCTTGAGAGGGCCATGGCAAAATAAATGTCAATTCAATTCAAAATGTTTCTTTTTCTTTTCTGGTAGTGTAGCATATTCCTCTTGTTTTAATGTGAAGTCAGGACACTCTTTTGATCAAAGTATGGCATTGCTGGGGAAAAACATCCGCTTGTCAAAAGCTCCATGACATAAGTACAATGTAAATATCATAATGTCCAAATGAAATTTGGAGATGGAATCCTACTTCAGGAAATATTCCAACTACATTTTGAATAAAAACATGAAAATACAAGACAAAATATGTCCAGTTTTTATGTCCACAGGCTTTACTGTTCTTAGCTCATCTTCTCTCCCACTCTCTTCCCAGCGTGACTGTATTTGTGTTTATTCTGCTTGTTTATTGTTCTGGCTGTCTGTTCAGAGCCAATTAAGTCTTGATCCACTGGAGCATTAGTCAGTCAGACACAGAGCGACAGAAAGACGGAGACAGTGGATGGAAGTATGAATCAAGTCAAAGCTTCTCCTCACATTCTGGCTGTGTTTGTTGCTTAGCTGTCGTCTGTCTGTGGAAAACAAAGCAAACAAGAAAAGGTTTGAACGTAAGACAGCTTGAAAAAAAAATCCATAAATATTAAAGTGAGTGGATCTTAGCACATTCAGTAACAAATATTGTTTCATTATAATTTTGGTTGAAATAATTTTAATATTGACCATAGCATAGCAGAGATCAGATAAGGCATTATCAAGATGGCAAGAGTGTAAGGGTCTAAAGAGCGATGCAGAGGTTTTCCTATTCCTTCTTGACAAGTAAGTGCTAACAAGTTCTGATTTTCCGCTTCAAGCCCAGCAAAATGTGTGGAGCATCATTTAGCTTAGCAGAGTGATACGAGTCAGCAGAGACCGTGTCGGAAACGTCTGCATTGTGTATGTTCAGATTGCCTACTGCAGCCTTAAGATATTAATACATTAATCAAGACTGATATGCTTTTCCAATTGCCACCAATTTTAAACACAAAGCTCACTTTACTTGTCACAAGAAGTACTACTCAACCTGTGAAAACAGTTGTATTATGTCCTCTGTAACGATGAATGGCCCTTTTGAAATTGAAGAAATCGGTTTGTGGTTTAACCAAGCAGGGAGGGTCTAAAAAAAGAAACTACTTCATTTTGTAGGAATTGCAGGATCCAGTGTTGTTTGGACTTGACCAATAATGGGGAGTAAAAGCCCAGGTATCACTGTCTCTGCTGTTTCAATTCTAATTGTTAATTTTTTTTCAACTTTTCCAAATCTAATGCCCAGTCCCACACGTAAACGGAGTTTTTCTTCCTTCGTTTAAAAAAAAATCTCTGTCTACATGAAAACGCAAAAACACGCTATCAAGCGCTGTCAAGAGCATGCCAAACCACCAGGCGGCGATATGACCCTAGCTGTGAAGCCATGTTGGCCAATCAGAGCCTAATAAAATGGTAAACAAAGCAGATAGCGGCACAAAATCAAGGCAGAAACTCCGGTTTTACTGTCTACATGACAGCGCTGCAATCGAAGTTTCTTAAAATCTTCACCCTAGCAGGAGTTTTCAAAAATGTTCGGATTCAGTGGCTTGATACTGTGTTTCCGTGTGGACGAACGGCCAAACTGTGTAGAAAAAGTTCATGTAGACAGGGCCTAAATCCAGTAGTGCCTACAGAGCACTTCTCTAACAACTGAGAGGAAAAGTAACCCACAGGTGTCTAAAAGCTAGCAAACCATTTCATCAGTCTATTGATTAGAATCTTAAACAGTCAAACAGCACCAACCCAGGCTTCATCCATCACTAGGTTAGTACTAATGCTGTGAAGAGAAGCCCCGTGCTGGGATTAGGGGAGAACCAGATGGACTTTCAAATTGTTGATTTTAAATCCTCTTTGACAGTGTTTTTTCAAAATGTACTTACTTTTTGTAATTTGGGAGGTCAGCCATCACAAATGCACTGTATAAAACCTGTGTTGACTTAGGAATATCTTAGAACATATACACCAACAGGCTTCAAAATAGAAATATAACACTTCATAGGCAAGTTAACAAAAGAGAAAAACCTTAAATGTAATTTTGCATGTATGTTTTTCTCACTAGGACGGGCTAAAATTGAGCTAAATACTGAATCCCTCAGTGGAACAATGGCTTTGGTTATTTATTAGGAAATATACAACAGTCTTACCAACCTAAACAGTGAAATAATGTTGACAGTTAAGACAACAAAGGGGAGAAACCATCAGTGTTCTTTACATAGAAATTTCAGTTTTTCTCCTAAGGACGGGCAAATCGCTTAGCTAAATACTGTAACTCTAGTTGGTTAATCTCTTTGGTCAATTTTGTAGAAGTTATATATGAGGACATATCAACAGTCTTCACAACTTAAATGGACGATAACTCCTCACAGCCAAGACAACAGAAGATAAAAAGCCTTTAAAATGCCAGCAAAGCATTTTGAAGTTGGAGAGTTGCAACAGACAGCACGAAGCAGCCTTAAAGCCCGTGCAAATTTGGTGCCAAAAATACGATGACATCAATCTTCCTTGAGAGCTGTTCCCTCCATCAATATGAGAAACCAGAAGCTGAATTTTTTTCCATAGTATGACATTGTGAAAATTTGATTTGATGTTGACGTTCCTGCTTTGAATGTACCAAACTGGTTCATCTACAGCAGCTAGCCCGCTAACTGCAGTTTTGTGAGAGGCAACAACAGCATTTAGAATAATGATTAGCTTTAAACGTTAGCTTGAAGGAAGTCACCAACATCAAAAGAAAAAGGCATTTAAAACAAATCTTGACCACAGAAGCGTGGCAACCACCACACATACTGAGAGATGTGGTAACCTCACAATGACACAGACGAATTTCACCACACTTGAACCAGCTCACGCGGGGAATAAAGTTAAAAGAGAAATTAATAATCATTTACTTTCCAAAACTCCAGTTAGACTTCTTTTTCTGACATAGAAAAATGAACAGAATGACATTCACATATCGAAAAACATCTTTAGAAAGCGTTCCTCGGTAGTTCTGAAGTATCCAGCTCGTACTGAAGAGTCAGAACTGTCTAATTTGCATATATTAGTGATGCCATCCTCACAAATTAGTTCAGCTCCATCAAAGTAGCCTATTGATAGTCCTAGTCTCTCCATCTCTTTCTCTATCTTTTCAGTGTGCCTTCGTTCTTAAGCATCTCCTCTCCCTCTCTCCTTCTCTCTCTCTCTTTCAACACTGCTGCTGCCATCTGCTCTATTTTCTCCCCAATCAATAGAAAAGCCAGAACCTTATCAGCATGGTCACAGTCATTAAAAGGCATCAGTCAATCCAGTCCGTCGATCTCAGTCCCATCCTGGTAATGTCTTGTCATTCTGCCTCAAATCAGCATCCTCATTTGTTTTTCTTACCGGCATCCCTGCCTCTGTCGTTTCTCTCCCTCTCTTTCTGTCTCTCTCTCTCTCTCTCTCTCTCTTTATCTCTGCTGTTTTTCTCTTTTTCTGTTGCTTGTCTCCCTCTCTCTTCCCCTCTCTGCTGTGAATCATGCCTTCTGTCAGAGGAAGGTTTTTTTGACAAGCACTCTCTCTGCCAACCAACACACCAACGCAAACCCTCCTCCTCTCCTCTCCTTTCACTCTCTCTCCCTCCCAGCTTCTCTCCTCCTCTATTCAGCCTCCCTTTACCTCTCGATCTGTCCTTCTCTTCCTCTCTCTCCCTCCCATTTACACTCCACACAGCTTCGGGGCTTTAAGAGCTTTGGAGCTGCAAAGAGACCAACTTCTCCTCTCCAGCTGCTTCTCTTTTCCATCTCATCTCTATCTCTCTTTCTCATCTCTCACTTGTCGTCGCTCTGTATTGCTATGTTTCTATTTTTCTCTCTCTCCCTTCTCTCATTCCCTTCTAGATTTAGTTTGACCTGAGTGGGTTACCCTTGGGAAATCATCACTGTCAGACATTTTAGAAATGAGGTAATGAAGGAGAGGAGGAATGAAGGAAGGATATCTATCTATCTATGTATCTATCTATCTATTTTTCTATCTATCTATCTATTTATCCCACAGATCTGTGTTTCAGTCTCCCACACACTCTTTTCTTCTCTGGCTCTCTCTCCATCCCTCTTGTAGCCCTCTCAGTTTGCCCTCTACCTCCCACTCTTCACCTCAGCGTTAATGCAACACGCATCACTGTGGAGGCGGCAGGGAGAGTGAGAGCGACAGAAAAGGAAAGAGCAACAATGGATACTCACATACTGTACAGTGCAATTTAAAAGCATCGTCATCAGCAACATCATTTGACCATTGCTGTAATAGCAGTGTGGAAAAACAGGATCATTTTTTTTCATCATTGAGAGATGCTAATGTAATTATCAGCAGCATTATAAGGTATGTTTTTAGCTCCTTTCTATCTGAATAACAGCTAGCGTTTGTTGCACCAGACAATCCTTACATGAAATCCTCTGGTTAACAGACACTGATGTATTTTCTGTTTTGCGTGGAATAAACAGAAAAGGAAGGACAGAGTATTTAGACTGAGCAGCAGCAGTCTAAAAAACGAGCGCCACCTACAGCAACACAAACTTCATCCAAATCAAAAAATCCAAGGAAGAAGATGCCGCCGGGCTGCCCACATTGTTTGACTGACACATTGCAGTAAACATAGCATAAGCAATATACTTCTTCATAGAAGACGATATTTAATAGAAGATGAGATCTAGAAATTTCTAATCTGTATCTGAATCCTGAACTGTGTCAAGATTAAAGTGCAAATACTGAGTTAATGAGGGCGATACCAATGTCAGTATTTGAGGGTTTTAATAATCAGATTATGATATACTGGCCAGTAATGATTTTTCAATACATCAATCAACAAAATTATATGAAGGATCTCTCAAATTTGGTCATTAGGGGATGTGACCAAGATATGAAGTGAGTGGGACATTTTACAGTTGAAAAATAAACTTGTCTATGCTCTCTGGTGGACAAACTATGTAATGGAGACACTGTTTCTAAATTCCCTGAAATGTTGTTGAGATTGACAGTTCATTTCAGTCACATCCACATTTCCATGACAACTGGGAAGATCCATCTGCTGACTAAGATTGTGTCTCAAACAGCTACTATGTGGGTTTTCTTTACTGCAATTTCTTGTTACTTATCAGCTGACTTATACTCTGATATAGCTGTGATAAGCTCTCATTGGACAATATATAGTCTCTATGCAAAATATACAGCGTGACAGACACGATGGTGGCCATGACTTTTAGTCATCAAAATCCTATGCAGGAACATCAGGATCTCATAAGAGCCCAAATTGTGCACAATTTCGAATTAGTCTGCATCACAACCACTGATTCATGACCTGTTACATTCCGAATTTATTTCCATAGTTGATTTGTGCCGGCACATTTTAAATTTTGGTACAGTTACACTCTATGTTCAAGAGTTACAGCAGTTGATTTTAATTGGACCATGCGTACAAGAAGTGGAAAGTGGTAACCATGTGGACTATTGAAAAAGATCATCCAAAATTAGGAGTAGACAGGAATAAAGTTGTAGCAGGAGTAGTTTTGCAAAACTTTATAAAAAGGAAAAGAAAATGTGTTGAGAAACGGGTATGGAATCCCTTCCTTCTGGGCTCTTTGACCACCTTTCCATCAAAGTTCATTGAAATCTACAAACTATAAACTAATTAACTACTATAAAATGTCCTAACTAAAATACAAGCTGAATACTCAGACTCAATATTATCACTGTGCACAAGGGAATCCTCCTTTTTTAGAGCTAATTTGGAAGAAATTAGGAAAACATTTTGACTTTTTGTCAGTGAAATCAGTGAAACAAAGCGTCCTTTAGCATCAAACAGTCCTGCAAGAAACATCAGGCTTACTCAATGCCAAGGCAGTGTGTCCACAAAGAGGATACATGTGGTTCACTACACAAACAACTGTGCAGTCATTGTGCATTAAAATGAGATAAATGAAATCAATAACATACAGAGAAATACCATGAGGGTTTCAATAGCAAGCTGTACCATTCACCACAGTCTTGTTAAAATTGGGCCAGTCGGTTCCATGATGTTTTCTGAGATTGACAGAGACAAAGACTGACTCACACTCCCCTTTATTATGCTTGTTCGCTATGTGAGCTCAAGTGGTGTTGACTCTGTGAGTCTGTTGGAGAGAAAGACAGACGGGAGACAGAGAGAAGCAAGAGAAAGAGCTCAGTCAACAGAGTAAAAAAATACATTGTCTGAAAAGAAAGGGTGAATTTGCCTGAAAATCTGTGGAAAGTTGGATTTCCTGGTGTTTCCACACTGAGCAGTTGAGCATGTTGTGTTTGATAAGACCAACAGACCAACATGAAGGCTGACAGTAATTAAGTTTAAGCTTATATGTTTCCTGAGGTCTAACCTGTTAATGGGGGGTAATGGTTTTATCTTAATGTAAGGCCACAAGCTTTGGGTTGTGATCCAAACATACCCACGGTGCAAATTTGAGATACTTGCACTTCACTTGCACACTAAGCTCAGCCATTGCACTACGGTTGTGCAAATTCCCCAAATGCTGGAATCTTGCTGACACTGAGGTGTAAACTGTCACGGTATATCAAATCAGCAAACAAGAACTCAAGGCAGAGGGCCCAGATGCAGACACAGTGGCAGAGAAGGTTCAGTTCAATAATTTAATAATAATAAAAGACAATACTGTCTAACAACAAGGTGAAAGCAGACAAGGGTCCAAACAAGGCAAGCAATCCACAAGGGAGCAGGCAATAAACAAAAACCAAAAGGTCCAGAAAATAAACCAATCCAAATCCAAAAAACACAAGGAATAGTGGGAAAGGACAGGAATGCTTGACATGAAGTCGACAACAGACAAACTGGGTGTGAGGGGAGGATAACACAGGAGAAACTAATTAGGGCAGCATAGACGATAAAATCATGGGCACGTGTCGAGGAGCTGAAGAATGGAGCTGGTGATCCCACATGGCCAGCCTGGGGGCAGGACCAAAGCGGAGCTAGGGACCTCAGGCAGGCGGCCTGGGGGCAAGACAGAAGCAAAGTCCCAATGAAGGGAGAACAGTTCTGCAGGCCGGTGGAGGAGACAGCTGCTGCAGCTGAACATGGTCAGGAGAAAGCTGCTGCTGGTAACTGCAGTGCAGGAACTGGAGACAGCAGCAGCTCAGGAGCAGGCCCCAAACGAGGAGCCAGGAGCAGTGGTTGATCGGGCTGCCCGCTGGAAACGAAGAAGCAGGAGTCAGCCGGGCCGCTGACTGGAAAGCAGACAGGACTGGTGATCCTGGGCAGCTACATCTCTGTGGCGCTGGCCAGCAGAGTCGCTGGGGTGCCTGCAGGATGACAGGGAGCCTCTACATCTTCGAGAGCTGCGCCTTCATAAGGTGGGCCAGCTTTAAGGCTAGAAAGAGAATCACTGGAGGTAGAATCAGGCATATAACAGGCCAGAGTGAATGCTGGATTCTAGCAGGCCAGCTGCTTGCATGCTGGAGGATAGCACTCTGGGGACTCGCAGGCTGGAGGTTAGCTGTCTGGAAAGCAGGCTTAGATGCAGGCTAAAGGCTAGAAGACTGGAGCTTGGGTGACTCAGGAATTGAAGCTAGCAGGTGGCTGGCAGGCTCCATGCTAAACCCAGCCTTAGAGTTGTAGGGTGAATCCAGGCAGGACTACAAGCTCCTCTTTAGACTGGCACTACTACTAAACACTAGATCAGGAAACAGGAACTGAAGGGAGTGGGACCAGACACAGGTGCCAAGGCAGAGCAAGTTCAGTTCAACAAGGTGGAATCTATTTTTTCTTTTTCTGTATGGATTGTAATCTGAGCACCACCCTATCCTCAATGTAAATGTGTAGATATAAAGAAAATAAGACATAGACCAAATAAAGATCTAGAAAAAGAGCACACAATTCATTACATTTCATGTGAGATGGTGAAGGTTTTCAGTAGTTTATGTATTCGGGTGTTTTTGAACATAACATTTCAGTGTGGAAGTGACCGTTTTAGTGCTATATGTTAAATTATATATGTCTAATATTCCATATGTGTATGTGAATGGTACAGTACCTGGCCTCAGCTTCATTATCTCCATCAGTCGTGTCTATCTCCATCAGGGAAAAAAAACTCATGCTGTACGAAGAGACAGCTGCGTTCCTCCTCATTTATTGTCATCAGTAAGGAATTTTGAAAAGACAGTCATATCCCACAGCCAGGCCCTGCTGAACAAATGAATCACCTAAACCAAATGCTCAGTGTCTCTTTCAGCGCAAACAGAGTAGAGTGGCTGTGTTCAGAAAGCAGATAAAAGATAAAGTACTGGTTGGAAATGTATTCAGAAGCACCACAGTAGGCGTCTGGCACAGCATATGGTGGCCTCTAACTGACACAAATACCACAAATCATATTTTCACAGTAAGGCAGTGAGCTTGCAAGTAGGGCGGAGATAGTGAAATATAGAACATTAACTATACAGTATACAGGAGTGATAATAAATCTTTTTAATCTTTTTACCTGCTATTTTGCAGTGATGGGTGTGGATGCTGCTGACCTGGCTGATGAAATATAGGTTAGGTTAATTTAGTTATACCCATAGGTAGAAATAGGGTCAAGTTTGCCTATGTAGTGGATCTTTAAAGCTGCACTATCAATATTTTTACATTATCATAGGCTCAACTAATGTGAACAGGGTCACTCGTAATGATGAACCCACAGACTCAACTCTGCAGTTCCCCTCAGCGCTACGAAGTATTTTAGCATCTTTTAGCTTATTATTTAATTTTACAAGCCTCTCAATAACCATTTC